TACTGGATATACTAAAATTGCTCCAAATCCTCCAAGAATAGTTAGAACACATTCTAATTAAATAAAATTCTAAAAAAAATAAATAAAAAGCGCGCAGTCACCAAAACGGTTGTTACACCAGTTGAATTGCACCACTGTTTGTTGTTATAGAAATGGCTTGTATATATTATCACACAAAAATAAAAGTTGAGACTGTATGTTATTATCTTCTTTTACTGTGCCAAAAAGATGGAAGTTGATGCTTTTCTTTTTCTTTTTCCTTTTCCCTATACTTTTTCCTCTTCCCTTTTTCTTCCCCTATTTTTCCATTTCTCTTCATATTTCTGCATTTTATATTATGATAAACTAATAAATATATGAATATTCAGAAAAGCTTTTGGGACCAAGTTGGGAATGCTTGCTTAAATAGCCGTGTTACACAATAAGCTCACATGAATGAGACAGGATGAATACACTAGAGAAAGGAATTGCTTCCTCATGGAATTCCAAACACATGGACCTTTTCTATATTCTGTGTAACAAGTACTAGAATTCTAAAGTTGCCATATGTAAAGTTCTTTCATTGTAAGTGCTGTATCTCTCCCTTCTTCCTTTCATACAGGGCAATAAAAATACTAAAATGATTTTAAAAATGATCAAAATTTGAACACTTGGCAAATGGCATGTATTATTACTGTTGGAGGGTCCCGGAATCATGTAATCACCTTTTGCAACCTTCTGAGTCAGTGGGGAAGCCAGATTCACTTAGCTAACTTAAGAACTGCCACGATCCACTTAACAACTGTGGTTAAAAAAGAAGGTAATAAAATGTAGCAAAGCTCACTTAACAACTATCTTGCTTAGCAATGGAAATTTGGAGCTTAATTGTGGTTGTAAGGCGAGGATTATCTATACTTGCTAAAGCTACTATATTTAAAACTCTGGCTACACTTAGCAGCCCTTTGTCCAAACCTCTATTAATATTGAAATTCTTTAATTTTTCTATAAAACTACATGCCACTTGCAAAATGGGCTGCAAAATGTCCTGCCCAGCCCCCACTCCCAAAGTTGATCTGCAACCAAATAGGCATGAAAAAAAAAACCTCTTTACCCCACAGGGAGGGACCTCATGGCCGAAAGATAGGACTATGGTTGTTTTGAGGAGAAATCTTCAGGGAAAGCTACTGCTGTATTTTCAAGCCTCTCTGAAACCTTTCAAGAGGCACTTTCACTTAGGAAGAAACTCCTGAGCTCAATCAATTTCTCTCCTCAGTGGTTCAGAGCTATAGCTCCCATAAAATTTCCTGACGCAAATAATAAAAGAGTTGGTTTTTCAAGAATTACCCTTATGAGATTCTCTGGAATGTAACATTTTTGAAAGGGACACAAATCTTTACTAATCAGAGAAGGCCTTAGGCCAAACCTTGAACAAAATCTAGAATACTGTATTAGCTACTGACCAACCAGTCACAAATACATACGCACACACAGACCCATGTGCTTTTATGAATCACCCGTGCCAAAACTTATTCTTGTGTAAAAAATCAGCTCCTGCTCTCCTCAGGAGGCCTCTCACCTGCTGATCCAACCTTCCATTGGCCTCCATGCTGAAACACAGACTTCCCAAAGGATCTAAACTCCCCCTGCTTCTGCACCACCAGAGGGAGAAAAGCATGTGTATGGTTGGCTAGGCTGGGGAGGCCTTTAGATCCTTCCCCTCAAATAGCAGACTTTAAACACCCTCTGAAGCAGAATGTAGAAAATCAGAAGAAAAACAAAATACAAAATACAGAAGAAAAAACAAAATAGGGAGAACTTATGATGCTTGCAATATAAGTAATTAAGCATTTGCCTTTATTTTTCCGCCCCCGCTACCCCCCAGTGTATAGCCTGTGAATTTCTCAAACACAAAAACAGTGAGGGTATCTGTGCCTCTCCAGAGTTCTAGTTGATCTAGTTCTCCTGATTTTTTTTCCCCTTCAGCTGTATAAACTAACAAAGAAAGAAAGAAAAGATAATATAATTCTCTATGAAGAGAGAATTATAATCAAGGCAGGCCTGCTATAGGATGCAGCCTAAATAAGTAATGCATTTCTCCTAGCATGTTCCTATACCCTAACAGTTTACATTTTTGTACATTTGGGGGGAAACATATATTTTGAATTTGAATATATAGAATGGGATGCCAGGCAGGAAAATCAAGCATATCCCTCCAAATCAAGATCATTTTTTGAAGTTGTAGGAGCTCTATCAGGAAGGGAAACAGTTTGTGCTAAATTTCACTATATGAATGATTTCAACAAACAAACTTCAGACTGTATATCAACTTTTTTTATATCCCACAGTGGCAAATCTCAACAGATGACCCATTCAACATAAGCAGCACTAGTTAAAGTAACAGTTATAACTTTTCCATATTTTATTTAATTACATCAAACTAATTAACAGAAAAGTAAGCATACACACACATTAACAATATAATTAAAATAAAAAATAAATAGGAAAAAGCCTTGGTGTAGTAAATCTGCCAGTTCAGATACTAACAGGCACCTGTTAATTTCTTAAATGTCGTTAAACTATGCATTTCAACAATTTATTACTAAAAATCAGATGTAGATGTTGAGTAATAATTCTTTTAACCATCCTATGTAATAGGTAACTAGATAGTGAGACATTTGGGACTTGTGTATTTAGCCAAGAGGCAAGCAGTGTTACTTCTATCAACATCTGATATTATACAGGTGAAACTTGAAAAATTAGAATATCATGCAAAAGTTCATTTATTTCAGTAATGCAACTTAAAAGGTAAAACTAATATATGAGATAGACTCCTTACATGCAAAGCAAAATAGTTCAAGCTGTGATTTGTCATAATTGAGATAATTATGGCTTACAGCTCATGAAAACCCCAAATCCCCAATCTCAGAAAATTAGAATATTACATGCAATCAATAAAACAAGGATTGTACATAGAACAATATTGGACCTCTGAAAAGTATAAGCATGCATATGTACTCAGTACTTGGTTTGGGCCCCTTTTGCAGAAATTACTGCCTCAATGCAGCATGGCATGGAAGCGATCAGCCTGTGGTACTGCTGAGGTGTTATGGAAGACCAGGAATGCTTCAATAGCAGCCTTCAGCTCTTCTGAATTGTTTGGTCTCATGTCTCTCATCCTTCTCTTGGCAATGCCCCATAGATTCTCTATGGGGTTCAGGTCAGGAGAGTTTGCTGGCCAATCAAGCACAGTAATCCCACAGTCATTGAACCAGGTTTTGGTGCTTTTGGCAGTGTGAGCAGGTGCCAAGTCCTGCTGGAAAATGAAGTCAGCATCCCCATAAAGCTCGTCTGCAGAAGGCAGCATGAAGTGCTCCAAAATCTCCTGGTAGATGGCTGCGTTGACCCTGGACTTAATGAAGCACAGTGGACCAACACCAGCAGATGACATGGCTCCCCAAATCAACAAGACTGGAAACTTCACACTGGACTTCAAGCATCTTATAGTGTGTACCTCACCATTCTTCCTCCAGATTCTGGGTCCTTGGTTTCCAAATGAGATGCAAAAGTTGCTCTCATCAGAAAAGAGGACTTTGGACCACTGAGCAACAGATCAGTTCTTTTGTTCTTTAGCCCAGGTAAGACGCTTCTGATGTTGTTTGTTGTTCAGGAGTGGCTTGACAAGAGGAATACGATATTTGAAGCCCATGTCCAGGATCCATCTGTGTGTGGTGGCTCTTGATGCACTGACTCCAGCTTCAGTCCACTCCTTCTGAAAGTCCCCAATACTTTTGAATGGCCTTTTCCTGACAATTCTCTCCAGGCTGCGGTCATCCCTGATGCTTGTGCACCTTTTTCTTCCACACTTTCCCCTTCCACATAACTTTCTATTAATGTGCTTTGATACAGCACTTTGGGAACATCCAACTTCGTTTGCAATTACCTTTTGAGGCCTTCCCTCCTTATGGAGGGTGTCAACGATGGTTTTCTGCACAACTGTCAGGTCAGCAGTCTTTCCCATGACTGTGATTCCTACTGAATCAGACTGAGAGACCATTTAAAGGCTCAGGAACTCTTTGCAGGTGTTATGGCTTAATTAGCTGATTAGAGTGGGACACTTTTGAGCCTCGAATATTGAACCTTTTCACAATATTCTAATTTTCTGAGATTGTGGATTTGGGGTTTTCATGAGCTGTAAGCCATAATCATCTCAATTATGACACATCATGGCTTGAACTATCTTGCTTTGCATGTAATGATTCTATCTCATATATTAGTTTCACCTTTTAAGTTGCATTACTGAAATAAATGAACTTTTGCACGATATTGTAATTTTTTGAGTTTCACCTGTAAGGTCTTATCAAACCAGTCTAAAACTAACATTGGAGTTAATTATGGACAAATTAATTAATTATGGACAAATCTCTGTCCAGAGATAAACATACTGTACTTGGAAAAAATCAGCTGTAGCTTGGGAAAGATATTCAATAACCCTGTAGGGTTCTTTTAGAAACAAGACCCTTTATACCACAAGTCCACTCTCTCATGATCAATGCCCAGCTCGTATAAAGTACCCATGTCACTGATTTCAAGATGTAGGAATCACATCTGGCCAACCAATTGGATATTATTCAATCTGTTTTTTTAGCCACAAACACTACAGTTTTGTCTGGTCCTGATGAAAATGATTAAGATGGATGCCATTAGCACATTGATAGGATCTACCTGAAGCCTAATGATCACATCTACAATGTCTCATAAATATACAGTAAATACAGGCAACAAGACAGATCTTAGTAGGATTCTATAATACAAATCGAAAAATAAAGGAAAAGTTCCTTTTATTACTTTCTAGAACCAGCATATTAAGTTTTATTTCAGGATCAAATTAAAAGCTACATTATTTCACAATTCTGATATATTCTGAAATAGAAGGTGTTCAACAACTGTCAGGAAAACAAGAAATTGTATAAAGAGAAATGGGAGCATCCCAAGCCAATGAAAACACGTTTTTCTATCGATAAAATTAGAATGAAAAGCCATGCCCCCAACCAGCTACTAACCTTGGTTTCTTTAGCATATTAAGAAACTTCTTAATAACTTAAGGATCAAGCTTCTGTGATTTCCAAAAAATAATCTTCCAAAATAAAGATTTCTATTTAGCCCGTTGCATGCTCTATTGTTTATATGGGTTTCTAAACAGAATGATGTATAAGATTCAAAGACCCATTGTGAAACACTGGACATAATATGCATTCTCTGAGTCTAAAACATTGTATCAAACCAATTTTAAATAAGTATTCACAAAACAATATATTCTACAACAAAACCAGGATTAAAGGCAAGATATGAGTGATCATATACAGAACAGCAAAATTTGTGCTCAAAAATAAATCCTGGCTAAAGCATAGCACTAACATATGCTTCCTTCATGATATTTCCTTCTCTCCTGGAAATATTTTCTTTGTTCCTCTATGGCTTTTTCGAATAAGTGAAGATTTATTCCTTCTACACATGTAAATACACGAGCCTTTATAATCAACTCACCTGAAATAAAAAAGAATAAATAAATCACCACATTTTGAATTAAAGGATCTCTTAAAATGATTTCATAGTTAATAATGCAATTAAAACAAATGTTCACCAAAATCATACAGTGTGGCAGTTCCACTCTTTGTTACTTCAGCATACAAAGCACTTTATTTTGTAATATATATTTTATACAGGTTCATCTAAAAAAACCATCTCTAAGTGGTTTACAAAATGAAAAATACGCAATTAGACTTGATAAATTGAAAGCAAATAGGTGGTTTTAAAAAAATATGATGGAAGAGAAGAGACAGGCTTTCAGAGGAGGCCTAACAATTGCTACTTTACAAAATGCAGGTGACAAGAGAATTCCAGAGTGCATAAAGAGAATTAGTGAGGAATAAAATTTTAAAGTGAAATGTAGAGATCTAAATCTATGGTATATACATCAGTCGTTTAATGTTTTCTTTGTTCTTTTCTCCTCTTTGGAAATCTATATTCAAAGGATTATATTCAATTCTTTCGACATCCAAGCAAATATTTAGAAGAAACTTAACCAACAATGTGCCTAAAGTGGAAAGCCTCACCTAACTAGAACAAACAGTGTATGCAAGGAGAACTGGAAATGACAAATATGCCTGTACTACCTGCTCTAAGCTACAATAAATCAGTTTTATACTCATAAAGGATATTTCTCATTTAACATTTGAGCAGACATTCAGTGTCATGAGAAATCTGAAAAGCAGTGACTTTTCATCCACAAGTGCTCAAGAGACACAAGTTCCCCTTGAGAGGACTGCAAGACATACTGAAGGAACGACAGGCCCACAAATTAATTTTATCAGAGTCTGCCTGAATAGACAGACTATGTTTAAAACATATTATTGAAAAGGAAGTTGTATCTGACAAGTATGAAACCGATTTAAAACTGGATTTTAAAAGTGACAACCTACAAGAATGAAATGGAACAAGATGTTACACTGGACCAGGGGTGGGATTCAACTGGTTTGGGCGAATCGGATGTTAATTTTACATCCAGTTTGGCGAACTGGTAGTCCAGCAACCAGCTGCCACTGCCCCACCCCTCCCAGGAGTCCCACGCACCCGGTTCTGGCTCCCAGGCAAATGCAGGGAGGCCTCCTAACCCCAAAATGGGGCACAGGGGTGTGTGGCATGGCCCACCTGTGCTCCATTTTGGCTCTCCTGAGGCTTCAGGGATGCCTAGGCCCAAAACAGGGTGCAGTGTGGGCCCCTCGTGCCCGTTTTGGCTCTCCTGAGGCTGCAGGGAGGCTTCCAAGGCCCAAAACATGATGTAGGGGCGAGGGGCGCTCCCCCCTGCCCTGTTTTTACTTCCAGGATACTGCAGGGAAGCTTACTAAGCCCCAAACAGGGTGAAGGTGGGAGTGCGGCGAAAGAACAAAAAGAGAAAGAAAGAGGGAGGGATGGGCTGGGAGAAAGAATGGGAGGGAAGGGAGAAAGAAAGAGAAATGAAGGAAGAGAGAGGGAGGGAGAGAAGGAAGGAGAACGAAAGGGAGGGAAGGGAGAAAGAGGGAAGGGAAAGTGAATGAGATATGGATGAATGAGATAGGGAGGGAAGGAGAGAAAAAGGAGAGAAAGGACACAAAGCCTGGCACTAGACACAGCTTCAGAGGATGCTTTGAAACAGCACAGCAATCTAGGGCTGGAAGGGACCTCAGAAGTCATCTAATCCAACCCGCTGCTCCAGCAGGAGACCTTATATCATCTTAGTTATTTGGGTGTCCCTAACGCAGAGGAGAAATTCCCAGAAAAGGAAAGTTTACTAGGCAAAGCTGCTATGCAAAGGAAGGCAGAGATAGTCTTCGACTTATGACAACAATGGAACAATTTTGGTTGCTAAGAAAGAGCATTGTTAAAGTGAATTTATCTTTTGACCCACTCAGTCAAATGACCACATAGTCACGTCCACCAAGCCACGCCCACAGAACCGGTAGGAGAAACTTTTGAATCCCATCACTTCACTGGACATGTAAAAGAAATTGGCTGATGTTTTAATAATTAAAGGGCTATACAAATAACAATTCAGGAGAGTGACTTAGATAGTTTCCTTATATTGGATTTACAAAAGAGACTTATCAAACCTTTAAAGAATTTGGTGTGAAGAAAAAGACAAAGAAAAAAAGAAATCAAGTTCTAGGACAGTGGCCCCCAACCTTTTGAGCACTAGGGATCGGTTCCATGGAGAAGTTTTTAAAGAGCCACTGTGGCGCAGTAGTCAGAATGCAGTACGGCTGGCTACTTCTGCTGATCACCAGCTACCAGCAGTTTGGCAGTCCGAGTTTCACCGGCTCAAGGTTGACTCAGCCTTCCATCTTTCTGATATTGATAAAATGAGGACCCAGATTGTTGGGGGCAATATGCTGACTCTGTAAAAGAGCTTAGAGAGGGCTGTAAAAGCACTGTGAAGTGGTATATAAGTCTAAGTGCTATTGCTATTTTTCCATGGACAGGAAGAGGCGTGGTTTCGCATGGTGCATGCATCCCATTGACGGGGTTTTTGCTTGTTTACGCGGCCCCATTTCTGGCATGCCACACATCGGTGCCGATCCACAGATCAGGGCTGGGGCCCCTGTTCTAAGCATTATTTGAAGGGACTACAGATCAAGATTGATATATGTAGAAATATATAAAATTAGTATATTTGATAAAGATCAAATAGAAGTAATATCTCTGTATTAATGGACTTTTTCTGACATCTATGTTGAAATGACAAGGCTTTAAGGATTTATTTGTAGATAAGGGAAGTGATATGGGAAGAAGAGATAATTTCCTATATTTTAAGAGGTAATAAACATCTAATATTGTTTATGCTTTTTGTGATGAAGAAGAAGCCCTTTGTATATTATTCTTTTTCTTTATTTTCTTTTTCTTTTTTTCTCCTTTTTAGTTTTATTAGGTTTTTATTATTGCAATTTAATAAAATTATTATTTTTAAAAAGCAAGTGGCATGGAAGAAGTCCTTTTCAGGACAGGCAAAATATTTTAACCTTCTGCACTTTTTTCTTCCCACATTTCCCTGATACTTCCCCAAGTTTTCAAAAGCAGGTCTATAAAAGAAACAAAGTTCTCAAATCCCAGTCAGAACAGAAAGAAGCAAGTAGGAGAAATAAAGGGTGTTTTGTCTAAACATTGTCTACTGAGTGACACTATTAAAGGTAATCAAAGACTTGAGATAATTCCTCAGGAAGAAAGGGCAATTTTCACACCAACCTCTCACCAGCAGATCAATGCATGAAATACTTGGCAGCTATAATCTGTGTGAGTTGAAAGTCATGAATGCACTTCCATTATTAATATATAAAGATGTGCCCTGCTCATGAGGCTCAGAAGATCTCTGCTATTAACATATGAAGATATGCCTTGCCCCCGGGGCCTCAGAAACAGAACTCTGTTACTGAACAATTCCCATCTGAGGTATTTGGTGTTACTGCAGCCTTCCAAATTTCACAGAAAAAATATTGAAATCTTTGCTCCTCATATTTCTGGGATTAAAAAGAATCAACTTGATATGATAGTGTGATGAAGGCCAAGCTTTGTTTAGCCTAATCTTTCAAAATTCTCCTGAGCTTTCCAAGATAGGTATCTACCCCTACCACCAACCCTTTGTGAATAAAGAAAAGATGTCCTAGTAGGAACTCTGACATTTAATTGTTGCAGTAATGGTTCCTTTCTTGCCTACATGTACTATTTTTCATTAAGAAAAACCAGAATGATATTTAAGCCTGGACACAAGACAAAAATCATACTGGTTTAACATACGCATTGGTTCAGAGTGAGGTATCATCAGTACAGCTATGATACCCAGTTTATTTATGGTATTTAGCGTATGGCTAGTCCATCATACATGGACTAGCAATATATATTAAAATTTCACCTAGATTAGTAAAACACGGTAAAATATAAATGTTAAAAAGATCTTGGTTCAGATATAGGTGATAGATACCCAATTATATACTGAGCCAAACAGCAAAATAGTGGAAGTCTGGATCTCATGTCTAGAGACTTTCAAGGCCTGGATGGGGAGAAGCAGACTCCAATTCAACCCAAGTAAGATTTAGTGACTTAAATTCAGAAGCCTAGTAATTCTGGGATTATCCCAACATGGCTTCTGGCTGGGGTAGGGCTTTCCCTAGCATGGCAGACCCACAATCTGCATCTTTTTTGTCTATTATAAAGCACCCATGATAGTGGCGTTTATGTTTAGCTGCCTTTAAGAATGAATTGGCTTAATTTTTTGCTGAGTCCTTAAGAATGGTTCTACTTGTTCATATTTATTGGGAGATTTTTTTGGTCCCATAGTATTAAAAATCATAGATATCCTTACCCTCCTTGAATTCAGTTTCCCCCAGGACAATATACCAAGATCCAAGTTGGGCCTGAAAAGGTTCGACAAACTTTGTGCAAACTGGAATACAGTGCTGATCAGATGCATGCTGAGCTGTTAAGATGGCTTGGGAAATGGCCATATCATAAGAGTGAAGCCTGAAAGAAAGTTTTAGATGTTATTAATAGTTAAGATACACAAATTCATTTCCAGAATACTAATAATACTAACAATATCATGTATATATCATGAGGTAGGGGCAGAAATATCAAATAATACAGTAGTCAAAATATGTTTTAACCATATTTTATTATATCTAGGCAGATATAAAGGTCAAACAATGTATGACAAATAGAATAAAATAAAATAGAATGGAATGGAATGGAATGGAATAGAAAATAGAATTCTTTATTGGCCAAATTTGATTGGACACACAAGGAATTTGTCTTGCTGCAAATGGTCTCAGTGCATGTAAAAGAAAAGATATATTCGTTAAGATAGAAATAGAAAACAATATACATAATATTTGGAAAAAATAGTTTAAAATCTAATTATTGGTCTAAACTAAAGGCAAGTTATTGGTCTAAATTTGAAAGGGAATGCTTTCAAGGTGAATCTAAATACAACAACATTTAAGTTGGACCATGGCACACTATGTTTTATGGACTGACTCTGCGATCCATGAAACACAACATGCCATGGTCCAATAACATGGCAATAACATTGGTTAGAAGTAAATCTCTAAGCTAAATCCATACCATGTGCTAAATACAACTGAATCATGCCACATGTTCAATGCAAAATACAAAACCAAGCTGAGTACAGTGTACTCATTAACTCCATGTTAAGGAAAACACTGGTCTAATATTTTGGCCATTACAAAGTACAGTATACTCATTAAC